TTGCCTATTAAAATAGACTCTGGGCTGAAAATTAAAAGAACTCTAATATCACCCTGAGTTGTACAAGGGGACCCGGTAGGCACTAGTACAAAGTATGTCAAGATTTTACAGACCTTAGATCATTCCTGAGGAAGGCTCTCCATAGTATTGCCCTCTCCTGGGATCTTGTCCCTTCTGTTTCTTAGAACACAGTTGCTACATGATTTGCTGGAATATGCAAAATCCCCTTGATCACCAAGACAAGCGTCAGCTCATCACCACTGCTTTCATTCATCCACATTACACATGCTTGAGTCTGGCTTTACTATACAGCTGCTTTTACAACGCAGTTCCAGACTGTGCTAAGTCATCTATTCTTTAGGACTATTATCTCCGTAGTGTTAATGAAATGGCTGTTGCTTTGCATGGATATGAATTTACTCTTATGTGAAATTCTCCTCAGGTTCATGGCCTATGCTTGTTTCCTTCAGCTTTATCTCTATCTTACCAACAGTAACACTGGGATCTGATAAAAGAAAGCTGATAGTAGGTTAAGTGATCTAAGCATAGCACTTCCCATCATGAAGTACAGCCTTGCTTAGAAACTTGAACTTATTGATGGCAACAAGCTTTTCATCTTTTTAGAAAAGACAATGAACTTCATTGGCTTTTGCTTGTCATTGAAAAAATGGTTCACTTTAGTGGGAGATGATACATTAATACAAGTTTTCACTTGTCTGTATGGAAGCATAGCCTTTAGGAAAATATCAATAAGTTAGTGCCATTATATCAAACAATGCACATGACAGGGTCGGGTCGATGACATTGCATAAGCAGCAGTGAAAATGCGGGTAGAATGAGGTTACAGGGAGCGTTGCTACTTACATCTCCCCAGCAAATTAGGCATCATACTTGCTATAGTTCATAATAAGCAGAGTTAAAATAACTAATATATAATAACTATAATAACTATCGTTAATAAAGTCAGTGAGGACGTTGGAGAAATTTTCTGGACTTGGAGCAATGCTGAAACATGCTCCAGAAAAGAATACCTTGGCACACCTCACACGGAAGAGACTCTGTGGGTAGTCTTTGAAGAACTGGTGAGAGTCAGTCCTACACATCAGTTCCTTTCTTTTTTACCCTAAGGGCTACAAGAAGAGAGAGAGAACGAGGCACCACCCAGCCCTCTTCCTTGCAGCCATGGTATCTCAGAAACTGCTGGCCAAATGTGTGCTTCACTAATATATACTGCTACTCAAAAAGTACCTACCCTTTTTTTACTTGGGCAAAAACTGTATAGATAATCACTTTAAAAGAATTTATTTTTAATTGCCAATTCCTAATATGAAATGCTTAGATTTCATTAAGTTCTAAATCTTTAGAACTTAAATCACAAACTTGGGGCTTTTTGCTTTAACTGCATAGTATTTATTTCAGTTTTCAGCTATACTTGCTGGATTCCACAATGGAGCTGTGTTCTAAGAGCCTAATAATACTGGATGTGATCACCCTGAACCACAGCAAGCAAACAGTACATTATTGCTAAAGCCAAACCCTTTTTATAACTCAGAAAGTTTTGCAATCTCCTTCCAACATGAGCAAGAATGTATGCACAAACCCCACTATATTTTAATAAGTTTTAATGCACCATTAATTATACATTACAAACAAGTAATTATTTAGTTTATTTTCATGTGCACTCAGTAATCAGATAAAATGCATGCAAAATAAATACCTGGAGTTAGCATACATTACTTTCATCATATCTCTGCCAGTCTAAGGCATTTTTTTTCTACCCTGCAACCTAATAAGCTATATATATATACATATATATATATATATAAAAAATTCTGATGAAATAGATTATGTTCCTATTTTAAAACCAGCAAACATCATAGTAAAATTAGCAAGAAAATAACTTAATGAATCTTAATCATCATAATTGTATTACTTATAAAAGGTATTTTTCTCCTACAGATAATTTGAAAAAAATATATTTCTTAGCAAAAAAATCAATTAAAAATTCAATTATTTCACTTTTTTATAAAATAGAACTTTATGATGATAAAATAATATTTTAACTAATATGTAACTGTACATCTATCAAGGAGATATTTTAATTGCATATATATTCTATCATAACAACACAGTATCTTTATGCAATGTGCTTTAGCTGATTTAATTATTTAGCCTTCCAGTTAAACAGACCATAGAAATCAGCCATGATGAAGATTTCACATAGGAAAAACTCACATCTGAATTTCGCATGTCAAATCTTTCAATCAATTCTTGCATGATTCTCATGTTAACCAGGAAGCCAGACTGTAAATAAAGGACAGTCACTATGTGAGACTAGGAACAAAATACCAGAAGACATTCAGGTAGAACAAGGTGGTTCCAATCTTTTCTCTAGTCCACAAATCTGCTCTTCCACTGGACTATTATTAGTGCTAACTAGTTCACTATGACAGAAGGTCTTCCGTTTTTCTACTTTTTGCCCAGAGCTTTTGAAATTCCATCTGCCACCCCACCTGATAGAAGAGGTTTGCATCTCTTGCAAGAGTATACTCTGATGTGTATGATTCCATACCACCCAGGTATGGGATGTGACTAATCCCATACCTGGGATGGGGAATGATTTCTATTTTTCTTGTTGGGCCTAGCTTGGCAAGAACTATTATATTTCTAGCTTTTGGTTGTGCTTTCCGAACATGAGCACTGTCCCATCAGAAACTGGACAGGTTGTGTTACATTTGGCAGAGAACATGAGGAGGCAAGGAAGGCTTCAAGCATTAGGTTCACTTACTATGGGAAATTTCTGTGTTTCATATTCACAGCTTGTAGCAGTGAACAGTGCTATCAAAGGCTGTAAAAATTATCTCACAGGGGCAAATGAAAGACAAGATTTCACTGATGAACCCTGAGCCTACAGAAAGAAGGTGACATGAAATCTTTCTGGCCAGAGGCATTCTCTGCAGCAGTGTCTATTCCCCATCCCCAACTCAGGGCAAGAAGAACTGAGAGGCAGTCAAAGATGGGTAGACACCAAGTGTTTTTGTTACATTGCCTGTTTCTCCTTTAACTCTCAAAAGGGGTGGGGGGGGGGAGGTTATAATAAGAGAACTGAAGAAAATGTAAGGGCCACACAGCGTTCCTCCCACACTTGAGTATTTCATGAATTTGCAGCCTGCCACTTAAGAGCCATTATTTCACATACGAGGTTGTCCTATTCAGCTCTCTGTGTGCTAAAAAAACTGACTGCAGACATCTTAAAGGAATTTTAATCATTTCTCCCAGTACTTACTTTAAGTGCAATATTCAAAAATTTGAGGGAGAAGGAAAAGAAAGTGCTTTATTACTGCCCAACTAATGTAAGTACCAGGGAGTCAATCAGGACCTGCTTTGCAAAATTTACCCTAGCCAATTACAGCAAAGTAAAATTTATTGAAGATGGCATCACGTTAATTCACTTTTCATAATAAGTGATTTTATAAAGTGTAAACTCATTCACTTAGAGAATAAAAACAGAAATGCATTTCACAATCACAGGCTCAAAGTGAATTAAAATGATGTGTATGGTGTTCATAAAATAATAACCACTTTATAATAGAATTTTGGTGTTATTGCCATTGCAAATGTACTTTAATTTACATTGTTTGTTAATCTTCAGATTTTTTTTGTACTCTTATTAGACATGATTGTGAGCTGTTCTCCAGACAAAGCCTATGATGTGAAATGTGAACCACATTTCAAATTAGTCCACTAGAGGGTGGTCTGTATCAATCAGGGTTGTAGTACTAAATTTACGCAAGACAACCAATATTTTCTTATTTTTGACCTGTTGATAACTCACCCTTTGTATTTCACTATTGTTCATCCCCCAAAACTGATTTGATTCATATAAAACAATGTGTAAAATAAAAGTCTTCCCCTAACAATAGCTCACTTGTAGCTCTGCATCTCCAGGAGAAGCAGTAACATTTTTCAGTGTATATTTCTGTGAAATTAAAAACATCTTTGTGAATTATTTTATAATTCTTGAAACCTCCAGTGGAGCAAACTGTAGTTTTCAGCATGCCCTTTGTTCACAGATACAAAACAAACAGGGGAAAAAAAAATCTTTACCATTGAGTATATCAGACAAAAAGGAGTGAAGAGAAGGAAATAAGGGAAGGATATCTGTGCAGCCTCTTGTTTACTCTGTCAGATAGTCACAAAGATAGCTAGGGAGACAGAGATGGGAAGAAGTAGGTTTTATTTAACCACTCCCTTCCTCAGCTTTCTATGGATACATATACGTAATAAAATCTAATATTTTATAACACTGGCAAAAGGAGCAGTAGAAAAAAAAACTTTCTTAAAATAAAAGCATGCAATAAAATGCCAGGGGGGGTGGGTTCTCTCTTCTTCTCCCCTCTTCACTAAGAGGGAAAGGTTTTCCTGAAGGGTTTCACCATCCGGCATCCCCTGAACCACAGCAGCCCTTGCAGAAGTTTAGTGATCCCTAATGAGCTGCTCTGCACATAGGGAGCTTCCTTACGCGCCTCGTACATCCTCCCTTCCGCACGGGCAAAATAACGAGTTTAAATCTCCGGAGGCCTCCTATAAAAGCACCAGGCACGCGCCGCAGCTCCCACAGAGCGGAGGCGCGCGGCGGGCGCACGGCGAGGCCCAGGCCGCCGTGTCACGTAGCAGGCAGCACCCCGCGGGCTGGCGCAGCGGCGCTGCAGCGCCCACGCACAGGCCATCGCCTGCTCTCTGGGGAGCGCCAGGGGCCCCGTTATCCGCCACCACCGAGCGGGGCAGCTGCGTGACACGCTGATGGACGGGCGGGCGGCTCAGCGCCGCGCCGCCAACCGCCATGGAGGCGAGGAGGAGTAAGGAGGGCTAGTCCTCCCGCCGGGGAGCGCGGCGGGCAGCACGGCGGCTCCCGTGCTGCGGGATATCCGTCCATACGCCGTGGTGTCATTATATACCGCTACACACGCTCGCACGCACACAAAGCCGCGCGCGCCTCCGCACCCGCACGGCTCCTCAGACGCCGGCATCAAGGCAAGTATGTGGCTACCTGCGCTAAGGAATCAAATTTACAGAGATGGGAGAACTCCTCCGGCTTTGAAACTACTCTAAGGAGAGGGTAAGTTCCTCTTTATTAAATTGCTATCCAGATTTTTATCTTAACTCTCCCCCCCTACCCCACCCCCAGTCTTCTTTTGTAAAGTTATTTTATTAGCATTCTTCCTCATTTTACTTTCTAAAGGGAAATGCAAATGCAATTTGCTCTTTGTGTCAGAGATAATCTAAGCACACTTGAAAGAGTATCGGATGGGTGCATTTGCTGGCTTGAAAGAACATCAAAGGGTGAAATATTATAAAGGGAGGAGGTTCTCCCCTATGTTTCAGATGCAAAAATCAAATTACACAGTTGCTCTGTGTTTTGAAACCGATAAAATAAGATGCAGGACAGCACAGCCTCCTTCCTTCTCTCCGGCGCTGGGATTAAGGGAACCGCTGTTTATGTCAGGACCTAAACCCCAGTGTGCAGCGAGGCTGAATGAGCATATCACAAACAGTTATTGAATTTCTGCCAGGCTTCATGGTCGGCATTGTGGCAAATGACTTCCCCTTAAAAGCATCCCCTTCCCCATCAGAGGGGTCGGAGCCATCGCCGGCTTACGGATGCAGCTGGAACGGCCGTGCAGGGTGACAGGGATGGCGTTGAGCAGGGGAGTTGCAATCTTCTCCGGTAATTAACACGAGCGCGGCGGGGTGCCCCCATACTGTATTTTCACAGGAGCGGGTTGTTGGTGCAAAGCCATCGCTCCCTCACCTTTGCCTCTCTCGGTACAGGGAGGCTCAAAACTATTTGTCTTGGCTCGCAATGTCTTTGTTTTCACATCTCTAGTTTGAGTTTTCACCCAGCACAGCAGGTCAGAAAGCAGGGAACCACAGGAGGAGATTGAGGGGGCAGTAAATGCAGGGGCTAGGAAGGAGACAACTGCTTTCTATTTAACCTATGTGGTCACCCTGAAATTCCACGCCAGCACTGTTGCCCAGTGCCCAGTGTGTTTATACATATGCATGTCATTCCTTTCATTCAGTGTAAGGGTACTTTAGCAGCCCTTAAGATGAAAACACGTTCAGTAAAGTCCATCAATGTGCAGCAGTGTGATTCATGCAGCAGGGAAAGCCAGGGGGAGATTGCACTTCGCTCCCTGCCAAGGACAGGTTAGCTACCCAAAGCCTGCTTCAAAGTGAAAAGAAATACAACCCCAGTCATCCTACATGTTTCAGTTTGCTTTCCGGAACGCTATGTGCAGTAAAGGCAGATCTTTCCCGTGCCTCTCCTCTACCCCCCACTCCGTACACCTTAGTGAACATCAGAGAGGAGCTGCTTCTCCGTAGCAATGCAATCCCCCGCCTGCAATTCCAGAGTTTCAGAGGAACAAACATTGCGAAACAAACCGCAACAGATAGCCAGAGGTGGTAAGCCTGCCACCTTTCCAGAAATGTCAGGAAAGGGGTAGCTTAACACTATGTATGGTAAGAAGCCAATTAATTCAGGTGACCTTTGTAAATGGTGACAATAAAGCGGCTCTGACAATATGCCACAGCCTTCGATTTTCCCTCTGGAAAATGAATGAGCTTAAGAAGAGGTTTCCTTTTCAGAGTACAAAATGAAAGGTATTGAAGCATTAGCTCCTGCTATTGGCAAGCTTGCTCTCTTTCAGATGTATGAAATCTGTTTAAAGCAAGCTGGCTTATTTTATTATGCAAATCATAATTTCTGGTTCAATTAATTAAACGTTCTTCTTTCACCTATGTTGTATGTGTATTTTAGTTATTTAAACATGAATTTCAAGCTACTAATTTGGATTTTTGCAGGATGTGGTATATAATAAGGGAAGAAAACATGATTCTGAGCTCTTCTTGCTGTATGCAAAGGACAACTCAGATGAAACTTTTTCTATTATATATCATGGTACCCACTCAGCTTTTCTGAGTCTTTACTTGAGCTCATTTTATTATATAAAACTATAACTAGATATGGGCAACTTTAAAACAATTTACACCATCTTTTCCACATGTACTCCAATATATGACTTTAAAATACTGCATAGCTATTCCAAAGAGTTTCAGAAACATGTAGTCTTTCCAAATCATGCATGCACAGAGGAAATACGATGCACGTTCAGTGCCTGAGTACACTGCTCAGATATCCTTACTCACCATACTAACCAAATTTTGGTTAATCCTCCCTCAAAGCTCCTGCAATAACGTTGTAGTGTCAGACAATGACTGGCTGATGTTGTTATGGCAACCCCCAAAGTACTGCCTTTCGGGTGGTAGATTGGAGAGTGACATCACAGCGTCCCTGTTTGGAGCACCCAGGATTTCTCTTTTGCACCACAATTAGGCCATCTATAAGATGTTTCTAACAGTGGTGCATATCAAAGATATCATGTACAATCTTTGTGAACAGATCTAGAATAAGTTGCTTATGAAAATATGGATGTCCTGCAAATCATTTGTCATTAGCAAGACAGAGAGGACAAAATCAAGGGTTTCCACAACCAAGAGCAAACCATTAAACAGTTCTGCTGCCACTTTCTATGACTCTTACCCCTAAACTTCATCTTAATACTGATTCTAGTAACAATCCAGTGCATTACTGGATGGAGGAGAAGAACTATAACTTTAAATGGCTGGTGCTTAAGAGGTGAAGTTTTACAGAGTTTAGTCAATTCTTAATTTTGAAATGAAGATGGCTAAAAGAAACAATTTAGTTTTCCTTGAACTATAGGTATATGTTCTTGGTGAAGTTATGGTGCATTAAAATTTTAGTTAATTCAATATCCTCCCTTCACTTTGTAATAATAAAAGCTGACAGAGAAGAAATAAAATTCTTGAGAGATACATGAAGTTTCTAAATAAACCCTTCCACTTCAAAATCCGCAAACAAAACTAACTAGCTAAATCTGACAAGGAAAAGCTGATCTGAATAATGCTCACACAACTGTTTTCTCAAATGGAAGATTTGTCCAAAAAATCCTAACAGCTTCTATAACATACATTTCTTTTTTTATTTTTAACTGATTAAGACTTTAAGCCCCCATATTACTTTTAAAAGGATAATTACTCTCATTCTAACAATGCAGCGAGAACTGTAATTCTTTACTTGATGGAAGGAAAAATGCCACTAGACTTTGAGAAGAAACAGTAGTGACAGATGCCATTAGAAAGGTCATTAAACACATTAGTATTAATAGAAGATCAATACTGCTCATTATAACTGCAATGTAACTGTAAAAAGGAATTGTCAAGCCCTTTCCTTATTTAACTCAACAGTTCACAAGTTGTTAAATGCCTTTATGGTAAAACAGCTTTTATTCATTTCTGCGATACTCCTGAGACCAAAAAACTTTTTAAACAAACAGTAGTTCTACTCAAAGTCTGCACGTGGTGGTGTGTCACCAATGTCACCACCACTAATTCACATCCCCAGCCAGCCCGTACTGATGCAGCCTCATTAAAGCACATGGAGCTTTACTGATCTGCACCAGGTGAAGATCCTTCATAGATGTCAACAAGATTCGCCCACTTTGGATCAGCGGAGCCTCCTGGTGAGATAGAGCATTTCCATGGGGGTGAAGCACAAAGTACATTCACAGTTTAGCTTGATCCACATACTCTCTCCTGACATGATTTTATATTCTTAACACATGGAAGATGATGCTACATAATAAATGAGCTATAATTAAGTGGATAGTAGAGGAATAAAAAGAGATACCCAATATGTGCATGGGTTTTATTCTCATGATATTCAGAGACTTTTGCTGTTCATACAGCTAGGGAAGGTATCATTAGGTAAAAAGGACTATATTTATCAGACTCTTCCACTTCTATTTTATTATTTTTTGCTTTTAATTTACAAAATGCTTGGAAGAACAAGCTGCAGATATGCTTTCTCTCTTACCATCCCCAAAGCTGCTTACTGGTTCATTCCAAAGCATGAACTGCAAAGGCATTAAAATGAATAGAAACAGTTTAATTCCATAAGGAGGAATGTATCCAAAGTATCCTTGAAACAACTATCCATCCTTTGGAAATATTTATTCTTCACCAAAAATTTGCCTCAGTAAAATTCCTTCCCTTTCAGACAGCCTATTTGCTGTAACTGCTTGTTCACAAGCAGTAACACTATTATTCAAAGAAAATAAGAAATAAATTTTCTGTATTCCCATTATTTCTACTCCATTATGATATTTATGGGACTCATCAAAATATCTGCCCCAAATTTACTGGTAGTTTAGCTCTATTGACCTCCGAATTAGACCAGAAAATAATTTTTCCCTTTTTCTGTTCCCAGCTACCACAATCTCGGTCAAACTGGGAAATGTTTTTTAACAAAAGAAATTTAGCAGCTCTGCTTCCTGCATAAGTGTCTGTATTTAGAGGTAAACACTGCAAAGCTGAGTGAAATGCTATAGGGATTTTTTTTTTTCCTCAGAATGCCTACTGATTATTAGTTTTACCCCAGGAGTCTATTACTATGCTTCTTGTCATGTGAATAACAACCACTCTGCCAATACATTAAAGTCTCTAAAACATTTGATAAAAATATCCATTTTAAGCTTAGCCATACCAAAAATTCCCTGGACATTCTGCCACCAGTATCACAAACAAACAAAAAAGAAAGATTCCTTATACTACTCATTGCCAAGGGGCCTGACAATTTCAGAAATTTCCTGTTGAATAAATTACAGAAGAATAATACTGAAAAAGCATCATGTAATAGAACAGACAACAAACATCATACAAACGCACAGGGAAGAGCAAAGCTGTGCACTGGGGCTTGTTTAAATCAGCACAGAATAGCAATCCTCCTGTGCAAGGGAAGGGGACTCTCCAAAGGCAACACGGCGGCGGTGCAAAGGTCTACAGGTTACTGAGGCTCTTCTGCTAGGGGAGCTGGGAGAAAACAGCAGCTGAGGAGCAGACTGGTTGGCTTCATCATTATGGTGCTGAACCAAAAAGTCAGCCTACTTCTAGACGGCACAAGAAATATATGGAATATATTCCTGGCATTGGGAAGTTTATTCACTTCCTGCATTGGGATACATAGAAGCATCTTGA